TGAGGTTCAATATGGAGTCATCAGTTAACTTCTTCTTATTTTTTTCCCCCAAAGTCAAAAAATAGACAACTAATATTTATAAATAAAAGTAAAAGATAATTTCAAAAAACAGATCATGCCAAATCTTATAGACAATATAAAAAGAAGAAATACTTCAAAATCATTCTACTTAATCTGGATATAGCTGATATTAAAATTAGAGAAAATATATCATTATAAAGAGGAAATTACAAACGTATTTCACTTATAAATGAGGATGCAATATCCTAAGCAACATATTAACAAGTTGAATTAAAAATTAATGTTTAAGTAATGTACTTTGGTCAAAATTAAATCAAAATAAATTAAATTTACGTGAGAATTAGTCACTTTTTTTTTCTTTTCTTGTTTTTTATTTTTGTCATGGTTTATTTTCTGTTTTATTTTTAATCACCAGGAAAAAAAGATTTTCTTCACCCCAACATGGAGGCAACACACCTTAAAACAGAAGTCAATATGCAATAATGGCACAGACTTAACTAAACATTGCAAATGTGATAGTATAATATTTTGGTAAATATGGGAATTTTGAGAGCCATAAAATTAAAGCCTTTGATATGTGTAAGATCAATAGACATAACTTATCACTATTTAATATGACCTTTAATTTTTAAATGCCATGTTCCAATGAAAAAGTATATTGCACAAGAAAATTGAAATTTCAACTAAAGAATCAAGACAAAAGAAACAAACTTCATATGAAAGTACCTTTAAGAGGTTGTACTTACGCAGCAACCTCCTCTTTTGACAATCCTTTGAAATTCACCTCCAGATAATGATCTATGTCATTTTTTTCTTTGATCAATTGAGACCTAAATGAAATGGAAAGAAATAAGAAAGCACTGACTTATCAAGTTGAAAAGCTACCAAACATATAAAATGCCACCAGGAGAACAGAAATATTCAGGGTATAATACCGTATATAATACATGTTCTACAATAGCTATAGAGTTAAGTTGTTGATTGATAGTTTCAAAATTTTAATTTTCCTGAATGGAAAATGGTAGAGAAGAATATTGAACCCAGCACGTAAGTGAATAAAATACCAACACATTGAAATAATTCATATTCTTAAATATGTGAAGCTTTCTCTTCAAAGCTTCTGAGGGCTTCCATTTGGCTCACGTTTTTTCACAGTATTGTTTTTCAACTGCTGAAATCATATTTTGCTTGGCACAGAATCTTGAGTCAAGAACATCTGTTTGATAAAAATGTGTAAAATTTATTTGTCCCAAACATTACTAAATTTTGCCTTGAACTTCTGGTTTTTTTAATCACACATAAATATCAAGTTATTGTTAAAGGGTCAAGGTGCAAGACTTAATTGAGAAATATACTTATAGTGCATCCCTTTCACACCCTCTTTTATCTTAAAAATAAGCATGCTGTCCACCTCTCATAACCATGGGGACGTCGGACAAAACAAATACCTGTGTTTTTATTCAGAAGCTATTAAAGAATGTTTATATAAAATTTGTCTTGAATGGTCATGATAAAAATGTTTTCCTTCAACAAGACAAATGCAAGAAAAAGGTTTTTTTCTCTTTTTTTTTTTTTTGTGACAGAGTCTCAAGTTGTCATCCTGGATAGAGTGTCCTGGTGTGCATCATTGCTCACAGCAATCTCAAACTCTTGGGCTTAAGTGATTCTCTTGCCTTAGCCTCCCAAGTAGCTGGGACTACAGGTGCCGGCCACAAGCCTGGCTATTTTTTTGTTTGTTTATTGGTTGGTTGGTTTTGTTGCAGTTGTAATTGTTGTTTTAGCTGATCTGGGCCAGGTTCAAACCCACCAGCCTCTGTGTATGTGGCCAGCACCCTGCCCACTAAGTGGCACCCTACCCACTGAGCTACAGGCACCACTAAGAGAAAGTTTTCCTTAAAATCCATTTTATCTTAAGAGTGGGAGATGGGGCTATGTTTTTGTTCATCTTGAAAATGAAATATAATCATAATCACTAAAAAACAAAGAATAAGATTTTTCAGGCTGGGCTCAGGGCCTGTAGCTCAGCGGCTAGGGTGCCAGCCACATATACCAGAGCTGGCAGGTTCAAATCCAGCCTGGGCCTGCCAAATAACAATGACAACAACCAAAAAATAGCCAGGCATTGTGGCGGGCACCTGTAGTCCCAGCTACTTGGGAGGCTGAGGCAAGAGAATCTCTTAAACCCAAGAGTTTGAGGTTGCTGTGAGCTGTGATACCACTGCCCCCTACTGAGGGCAAAAAAGTAAGACCCTGTCTCAAAAAAAAAAAAAAAAAAAAAAGATTTTTCAGGCTTTACAAATATTTCACATTTTCAAAAGCAAAATACAAAATAAGAACATGTATACGTAGTACACATGAATTATGCATCTATTGAATGATTTCTCAGCTCTAGAAAAAGGAAATTTTGATTTGCTTTGTAAAACAATCTTTGTGTTAGTTTAGCTGAATATATTTATTTTGGTCCAAGGACTTTGGTCTTTCCCAGAAATACTAAAAATGAAGTTGAGAATAAAGAAGTCACATAAGACTTTGTTCATTATGCCTTGTAGAAATTGAAAAGTAGCATATAAAAAAAATAACCAAACCGACAGATGCAAAATATTTCTGTTGATAAATAATATGTGTATCACTAAAAGTCAATAGAGTTACAAAGGGCAAATTCAAAGTAGCCCAATCTCAGTTAATAGTCATAATTATGCAAAAAATGCATTGAGTTTTCCACTCTGCATTTTCTTAGCAACAACTCCAGTAGCTCAGCAGCCTTTCATGGGCAGCAGTGATTTGATGGTGCATTTTCAGGCTGCAGCATCATTTCATGAACTAATTCATGCCTGCAATTGACCCCAGAAGCAAGGCAGCCCCCTCCTTCCTCCAAAACAGAAGTCAGCACTTAGAGTCTGTGTATTAAAAGCAAGTGCCTTTCATTCCTAAAACTTCTACTTTCCATTCTTTGCATATATTTTTAAAATCTACCTTATCTCCAAAACTGTATAGGAGGCATGATACCACATATAATTGTGATAGGAAATAAAACAATCAAATAAGCACCAGCTTGATAAATAAATATATTTTTAGCATTTGAATGAGGTTCAGCAATCCTTTAAAACAGCAATTTTTAATGCTCTTTTAGCAATTTTATTTTCTAGATATGCTATTGATATTTCTTACTGTAGGAAAACTCATTCTTCAGGAAAAGAAGCGAAAACCTGGGCACATACCTTGGAATTTTTCCAGGTGAGCATGGCAGCTTCTTTCTGGCTAAGGCTGCAAGTTTTGGGCGTGTCATGGGCAGTGGGGGCAGGGTGGTCATTTTGGACTACAAAAAAAAAAAATAAGCAGAAATGATGGTTTAAAGCATTGCGCTTTCAAAGGATCCTTTAAGACATTATTAAAGAGCCACAGTCTGTCATCTTTGCTGAGAATGCCTCTGTATGTAGAGCTACCGTTCTTTTTCAGAAATGCTACTTAGTGAGGGGAATCTGCAGGTTGCTTCTTATTATTTTCTTTCATTGTCTGCCTTTTGGCCAGTTTATTTCTTGCCTCTATCTCCAACACAAAGTGGATAATGATAAAACCCAATAAATGCACTGATGATTCAGATAATCATCGGATTTCGTAAGAATTTTGTAAAGGGACATGATTGAAATTAAAGAATGAAGATTTTTAGGATAGCTATGGATTTCTAATGTTTATACTTTGCTTTCCTGTTATAATCAATGATTGAAAATTGTTCATACTTTGCTGTTTTCTAAAAGCCTTATCACTCTCAAACAAAGGCTTTCTTTTCAAAGTGATCAATCGACACTAAGAATAATTCTCAAAAAGGAGATGGCTCTCCGGAGAAATCCCACAGCTCTAACAGTATAATGAATCACTTTTAAATGTATTGGTTTTAAAAAGTGGTTTTAAACAATGATTTTAAACAATGTTATTTCTCACACTTCTGAGTCAAGAATTAGGATAAGCCATGAGAGGACAGCTTCTTTGTGCTCCATGATGACTGAGGTCTAGACTAGGGAGACTAAGCTGGGGTAACTCAATGGTGGGACATAGGAATCATTTGTAAGTTTCTTCACTCATGTATCCGGTTGTTAATGCTGACTATTAGCTGGTAATTGCCTGGGGTTGTCTGCCAGAATATATACATGAGGTTTCCTCTCATGGCTTGGGCTTCCCAACCACATGGCAACTCCAGACTTCTGATATAGCAGCTCAGGGCACCAAAGGCAAGTATCCCAAAGAAAAGCAAGGTGGACACTGTATCCCCTTGTAGGGTCTAGGCTTGGAAATTGCATAGCATCTTTCTGCTGTGATAACAAGCCTGCCCCGTTTCATGGCAAATGAACATAGAACCACCTGCTGATGAAAGACTATCAAGGTCATATTGTTAAGAAGAGAATATAGCTTAGGAGACACTGTGATAGCCCTTGCTTTGAAAATGCAATATGCCACAGCGATGCAGAATAAGAAATACAGGTCTGTAAAAGGAAGTCATCTACACCTTGTCCCAAAGGCAAGTCCACAATGTCTGTGGACTTAGAATAGAAAAATTGTCACATGTTGCAAGGGCTCTCAAATGTAAAAGAACTAAAATAGAGAGGTATCCAAAAGGCCAGAGGCTCCTGATCTCACTCCTACTATGTCTACCAGCTTGACTCTACCCTTAGCATCATCAAGCAACTATAAAGCTTATTTCAGGCTTTAAATCACTTATCACCAGCAGAGATTACCTGTGTGACCTAGGGTAAATCAAAATCAATCTGGACCTTGAGTATATTCAACAGGAATTTACTGAGCTACTACTTGATGCCAGGCACTATCCTAGGTGCTAAAGACTCAGCAGTGAACACAAAGACAAAAATATCTAACATCACAGAATTTACATTATGGGGTAAATGTGGAGAAAGAAAATATACAAACAAGCAAAATACATAGCACATCAGATGATGATAAGATTTTACAATGAACAATAAAGTAGGGAAGTAAACCTACCCAAATGCTCACTGATAGCGAGGGGATAATTAAGAGAAGTAGATGAGGCCAAGGAAGTCAATGAGAATTTTGGTGGGGTCCCAATGTTTTAGGCTTTTGAGTTTTGAACACTGCAGACAGTGGATTTTATGGTGATTGAGGTAAGAAGCCTTTGGAAGAGTTAGAGCATACAGGTGACACAATCTGACTTTCACCTTGAAAGGCTCACTCTGAATTCCCTTTTGAGGTTAGACGGCAAGGGGAGGAAGGGCAGACATCACAGAGGCCAGCTGGGCAGGTCTGTGAAGTCTGAGTGAGAGAGTGTGGTGGTTTAGATAGAAGTGGCAGTGGGGAGAGGTAGTCAGACCTGAGGCAGAGCTGCCTGTGCCTGGCTGAGACACGATATTCCTCTAGTGCTACAAAACCATGGTTGGGTCAGACATGGGACAGCACGAAGACTTGAGGCAAAATCTTTTGAAATTCATTTAAAAAATGGGCAGTCTTGTTTCTGGGGAAAAAAATTTAATCTGGTCTAAAAATAATTTTTTATAATTAAAGACAATTCTAATGCAGACCAGGGTCTTATTTTAGATATAATAAGTCCTATTATTATGTAGCTTATTAAGGTATGGTAGGATTTGTGAAAACTTATTTTTACATAGTTACAGCTTTAAAGTGCACAGTCTAAACAGCAAATACTAGTCTTCTCCTACAGAACAAACATTAGAAACATGTTATAGTATTACACTTTATTATAACATCATGATATAATGACTTCATTATTTTTTAATCAAAAAAATCTATTTTTCTGGCTAGATGTTATATTAGTTACCTGAATTCCTCAGATAACCAGAATTTACAAAAGGGCCAACACCATGCAGAACATGGAGTAAGAAGTCATGACCAGTTGAGGGTTAAACCACATGTATAGGTTTAAAGGGATACAAAAGGCTCCCCAAACCCACATCACATGACCCTACTCCGAGAAGCTGTGAAGACTGTCTTCTAGAATCTTCTGATGTTATAGGAAACATCAGTTCTTAACCCCCTGGCCTGTCTAGCCCTAACAAATTTTGAAACAGAGAGAAGAAAATAATTCTATTTGATTAAGTTGGGGTATTCCATCCTCTGTGAGTTAGTACTCTATTCTAAGAGCCCCACTTGGCTCATCAAGGCATTATGCAATGGGCACTGAGGCCCGAGTAATCTCTGCATAACTGCAGCGCTCTTCGAAGAGTTCACCAAGGAGCTTCAAAATGAGGAAACTTGTGATTCCCCCAATACTAGCAAGATGTAGCCAACACATCCCATCAAATTGCATTTAATCCCCGACAAAAGTTGACCTCACTGGTATATTACATAGTTTATTCTTTTTGATCTTTACTTGAGTGAGATGATTTACCTTAGACAATATAAGCACCTAATGAACTCACAGGCAAATGATATACATGGAGAGGAATATGTCTCCTTTGTCATACAGATCAACCACAGTCTTTTTTTTTTTTCTTTCAAATTCTCGTTTCCTACCATTAAAGTTTCAGCTGCCAGTTCCTTCATTTTGCTTTCCTCTGATCTGAGAACATTAGCAGCAGGAACACCTTTACTCTTAAATTTAGTTTAGTGTAAGTACTGCAAGCCCTGCTGGCAAGCCTCAAGGCACAAACTCTGAATGGGGGGTGGTCAGAGCTGAATGATAAAGCAGGGGAAAAGTTATTAACTGCCTGTTGGAAAAAATACAGCATCCCTCAAACAATGCCTGTTGGAAAGTTTAAACCAGAGTTAGGGTGGAAGCTGAGCAGGCTCCCTCCTTGCTTCTAAACCCTGCATCCCACCCTGCCTATGCCTGTTGAGAAAGGGCATTTTGTTGCTCACAATCAATACACAGCCACATAAGGTATTTTATTTTCTATAACATATAATGTGGGAACTGAATTTTATGACACAAATAATATATGATATATACCGAATATTGAAAGGGATCCTATATCAAATTATCTTCTCATCTAAGAAATCACCATGTCTTTTGTACCTTATAAGTTCCATCTTATTTATGCTGAATTTTCATGAAGGAAGTAGCTGTATTCTAGCATGCAGCCACTGGAAAAATAAGTGGAAAAAATGCTAGCATGTTTAGGGATATAGCATTTCAGGCTTAAAGTATATCTATAAAGCAAAGAAAGCCTTTTGCTCTTTGTTAATGAGTTGCAGCATTTTGCCGATGTTGGCCAGATGGTGTTCCCAGCTCTTAGGTGAGTTCCAACCTAGACTCAAGAAGGAGGAATGGAACGAGTGCTATGGGGTGAATGAAAGTGGAACACATCACCATTCGTTATGGCACTTCATCAGGCTTCTCTTAGCCCAACACCACAGAGGAAAACGTATAACACAGGTGTGACTACAGGAAGGGAAATTGCTCAGGTTCAAGTCAGTAAGGGAGAAGGAGAATGAAAGGTACCTCTCTGGCGGAAACCAAAAGGAGCCCAAGCTGCAGCAGGATGCTGGGAGGACCCAGAGGCAGCTCCCCCAGTGCTAGCAAGTGGGCAGTGCTGCTTGTGGCACCACTGGTGCTGAGACAAAGATCAAAATGCTGCCTGAAGCCACTCCACTGTTGGTATTCAGAAGAGATTTGGTGCACTCTTTGATCTGCTGGTTGGCTCCTGTATCACAGTTACAGTCTCTAAATTTGGCCCCCTCATGCAAAGACAAATGAGAATCGAGAAATATAGGATGAAAGGGTTGAGAGCGCTGGGTCAGGCCAAATGTGTCCCATGGTGTGAGTTTAAGTTCCTGGCCCCCAAGTAAAATTCTTCAAAGAGTAACCCTCCTGCCCTCTATCCCCAGAGATGCCTTCATCAGGAAACACAAAAGAGGGGAGGCCTACACTGTGTAGACAGAGGCTGCGCAGGGAGAGACTATGTCTGAGGCTGACCAGTGTCTCCAGGGCTCAGTCACCTGGGGGTACAAACTGAGATGAGAGAAATAAAGCTAAAAAACCACAGTAAGAAAACTTATTAGACATCACCAAGAAAGTTCAAAATAACTATGGTTTTACTCGAAATGCTTCATAAAAATTAAAAGTTTCACACCATCACCACAAGCTCTTTACTATGCAAGTTTAAAGAAAATTATGGAAGAAATATCACTAAATAGGCTCCTTAGAAAAGTAAAAAATAATTCACTTCTAGTGTCCAATAATTTTGGACACTTCCAGCACCCCATGGTGGGTAATTAGATAGGTTATTAAATAAAATGAGTAGAAAGTATACATTTTCCACCAAATGACATTTATTGGATGGTTAAATCAAAATATAAAGCAGGAAAGGTATCTGAAGGGAAGCCACATTTTACTTCACTTACATTTGCAGATTATTGCTGGAGGTCTCTCCAGGCTTGCAAACTTCAGCCTGAGAATCAAGAAGCAAAGAAAGATAGCAAAGGAATGAAGAAACAAAGTTCAAAATCAGTCAATAGAATAACTCCTCTCTTCACCCCAAGTCTGGGAGTAAGATTCATTCATACAACAGATACTAAGTACCTACTACCTAAGCTTAGATGAACTGTTTTAAAAATCCCAAAGTGTATTGGATCCTATGAGAGAAACTAATCACTAATTCAGTGACATGCCAAAACTGAAATAAGTATACGTACTGATATATTTCAATAAGAACAGGATATTAATAACCACTTGTTATTTCAAATTTATGAGCTGGAGTTACCTTTACCCAAAACGAAAGCATCTCAGTTCTCCTTCTGTTTCCACCTGTTTCTAAATAAATAAGACCAATGGACTTATTCCTACACATATTTTTCCACTGCCCCCAGAGGATTAGGTGAACTGGGTAGCAAAAAGCTCCTTTCCCTACTCCTCTTGCAATTCGTTCCCTGAGGTAAATAGCAAGGGCCTGGGACTCAGAAAGCGGGAGAAAGGCCGAGCAAGGGTCTGTCGGGGTCAGGGAAGGGACTGCCTGGAAGAACAGCCCGCCTCTCCAAGGTGCTGAGAAAGTCCAGTCGCCTGCCCCGCCCCCTCCTTCGCGAACCTGAGTGGACTGGCCCCAGGGAACAACTCCAGTTTTCCGTTCCGCTGCAGTGAGTCCCCCACAGGCGACAGGTGCTGGGCGCCCCCAAGCCCCCTCCTCTGGTGTTTCCGAGGCCTGGAGCCGCCGGCGCCTAGAGAGCGGACGCGGAGAACGTCTCCAGGGAAACAGGGGGAAGAGGAGGGGCGGTCGGGAGGCGGAGTTAGGCTAAACCGGGGCTCGGGATTGGGGCCGCTTCCAGACTCCGGCTTGGGGGTGGACCTTGGGGCGGAGCTTACTGACGGCAGAGGCGTCCGGACTCCGCGCAGCGGGCTTTTCAAGCTGCTTTCAGAAGTTGGACCGCTGTCAGAAATTAGTTCGCATAACCCAAGGGTCTCGAATTTTCCGCCTGAATCATTTCCTTCACGGCACTGCATTATCAATATTTTGCAGCATTTCTCTTTTGTTCTCAGGACTGATGGTAAAACCTTGAGGTTAGCATTCATGACCTCCCTAACCTGATAGCACTTTACCTAGATAAGTCGTTCACTTTTCTCTTCCCCAGGCCCTGTTGCAGTCAGAACCCAGATTCCTTTCTCAATCCTGTCTCCAGAAAGATAATTCAGTTTTGAGTTGTGACCTACTAAATATTCAAAGTGCCTTTCAAAGACTGTCCCCATAGCCTGTCTTTCTTTCTGGTTTTTCTTTCCTTCCTTCCTTCCTATCTTTTTGAATTTTTACTGGAAACTCAAGATTTTATATTTATACTAACTAAACGTCATCCTGTTCATTTCAGCCCATCAGTCCATCTCTTCTCTCACAGAAAAGTGCAAGGCAGTGAGCTTCCTTGTTCATTCCCTCATAGTTACATGGGGCAAACGAGTGAAGCTAGTTGCTTATTACGCCTCGGATACAGACGTACTGGAAAACTAGGCTTTTATTCAATGCCTACTGTCACACACTGTAGGAGAGTGAGCCAGCGATATTGCTCACATGAATCATTTTATTAAACATAAATTGATTCTATTTGAACCACAAGAACAACCATAATCACACTTTCATTCCAACATCTAATTTGCTGCAACAAATTATTTAATACTAAATTATTTCCAGCAAGTAAGTTTACATCATACATTTCAATGATCACCGCGGCTATCTGTACCTGGGCTCCACCCCTCCCCCCAAATCAGTAAGACCCATTCTATTCTCATGAAAATTTTTTCCAGTTTTCAGCATTGCCTCAACACCATTACCTGTGTGCTGCTGTTCCAGCCCTCGATGGTTTTTCTGCCTTAGAGGTTTGTGAATTCCATACACCTCCCTTTCTCACAAGAGGCTCCCTTAGGTGGCTTTCTACATGGCTCCTTACCTCTTTGGACTTATTCTTACTGCTTGCTGTATTTTCACTGGCAGTTCTTTGATTAATTCTTTTCTTCTGCTGCTTATCGTAAGATTCCTCAGAGCGAGGGAATTCAATTAGAGAACTTTGTTTTTAAGTGATAGAAGACTCAAACTGGCTTAAGCAAAAAAGAAAATCAATTGTTTCCTACAATCACAGGATGCCAGCTTCAGGTGCAACTTTATCTACAGACTTAGCCCTTCTGAAAGCTTTGAGGACTCTAGAACACTACAACATTTTACTACACAGAACTGATCTCTCCTCTCTCCTCTCGAACTGACCTTTCTTCTTTTATCAGAAACACTTTGCCCAGTGTTTGGTTTACATGAACTAACATTCCCTAAAGGATTATGAGCTCCTTGAAAGAACAGACTTTGTCTTATTTTTTTTCCCCTTGAATTCCCTGGAATAGTACAGAGATTGTTACATAGTACTTGCTCAAACATCTTTTTTGAACTGAATGAATGACAAAGTAGAAGTTTCTCAAACTGATTCTTTCTTATGTAATTCTTCTCATTGCTTCTTGTCCTTTTTCCACCTAGAATTTAAGGAGAAAGGGGAGGTGATACAACTGACAGTGTGAATGCTATTACAGACACAATGACATCTAGAGTGCCCTCTTCCAGTCTTGCTCTGGAGAAAGATTTTTAGGTTATGCTAGCTTCCCAAAGAAGCAAATGATAATTCTCTAATGGAACCCAACACATCTTTATGGCTCACCATAATTGTTCTCAAAGTGTTTTTGATATCTCTCAGCCATCAATTCTATTACAAAAATTATTCTCAATTATATTCTTGTTCTACCCATCTGTTTTACTGAGAACATCTCCAAGTAACATCTAAAGGAAGAATAACAGTTGAATTTTTTAATTCTTTCATGTACAGCTTGAAAGAATGCCTTGTGTCACTTTCCTCTATTGTCTAAATAGGCTGGGGTTTTTTTTTTTTCCCAAAAAATGATCATCTATCAGAGTTGGATAATCTAGGTTACCAATCATTACCATTAGAAGGTGTTATTTCACTTTTCTCTAGTATCCAGGGCTCAGGATGAGAAGTCTATTGTCAATTTTATTTTTCTTCTTTTATATCTGGTCTAGTTAAGAAGATCTGTGTCTGCAGTGACAACCACAGATCTCAGTGGCCTAAAACAACAAAGGGTATTTCTTGGTTACAATCTATAACCATCAGAAATCAGGTTTTGCTCCGTACACTCATCTCAGCAGACTCAGGCAGAGAGAATCTCTGTTCCCTGAGCACGGCTGGTCTGCAACAGAGGGATGATAACCAGGGTATGTTGCACATTAGTTCTGAAGGCTTCATGCAGAATAATACCCAGTGCTTCCTCTAACATTTCACTGGCCACAACAACTGACATGGCCATGCTCAAATCCCCATGTGTCTGAAAGAAGACCCAGACATCCATGAGGTCACAATGACTGTCCCAGACATGTTTCCTCCTCCTGAGCTCAGGCATTTTTAGGTTGCTCACTTTATCCCTCCTGTTTTGACATGTCATGGGATTTCCTAAGTAGAGCAATTATAGCTCAGAATTCCCATCCTGTCTCAAATTTTGATAATCATAAATATAATTTATTTTGTCTCATTTTAAAAATATAATTTATTTACATTATAATTTGTCCCATTTGTTCTGTCATCTTTTTCTATGATTCTGTTTATTGATGTAAGTCTCCTACATTTGTACTTTTTTATCCTTGATTTCTCTTCATTTGTATTTTTTTCTTTTTTTTTCCTAAAGTTTGGAAATTTTTGACAATATTATTTTGCCGTCTTTAATTGATTTTTTTTTTTTGTGAGTAGAAGACTTCATATGCAGCCTTTGAGAATTCTTGTTTTTCTTTATTGCTTCTTTTTTATAGATTCTTTTTCTTTTATGCATGTAATATCTTGCAATTATCTCTGAATATATTAGTTTTAAGATTTTTTAAAAATTAAATTGTCTTTTCCTCTAGGAAAAGTTTTTCTTTTGTCGGTGTTGACTTTTATCTTTTATGGAATTTATTTCCCTTGTTTACCATATTAATTAGCATTGGATTCAGCTGCTAGTAATAGAAAGAAATACAAAACTGGAATGATGCTTGATGGCATCAGGTTTCAAGCTCCTTCTGTTTTCAACTTCATTGCATGTGGATTTCATTCCCAACATGGCTTCATTGACAATCCAGCTATTACACCTGCATTTTATCTGAAGAATGGGTAGGGAATAGTGGCATACTCTTTCTAAGAAGATGAACACATCACTTATTGTGATATTCCACTGACAAGAACTTCATCACATTGCCATACTACACTAGAAAATGTGATTATTACTTTGAGCCGCCAAATGACTTGCTGAAAAGCAAGGTTCCATACTTACGGAAAATAAGAAAGAGTGGATAATGGGGACAGTCAGCATTGATACTACAGTTGTTAATTCATATTGAAGAAAGGATTGAATGCCTTGTGGGGCTCTCCTCTACTGCTGTCTGAATAGGCTATTTTCCTCCAAGTTTCCTCTTTGAGTAAGAATTTTCATAAGCTCTGGATGAGGTAGGCAAGTTATGTCTCCTTGGATTTCTTTTAGGGCAAGAGCATACGAACCAGCTATCAGGCTATGCCTTCCATGCTGGAGTAAGAAGACATTAATTTGGGGTATAGACATGTACCCCTGGAGCCTCAGTGTTACCTTGACTGTTCTTTTAATGTCTTCATAAAGGAGTTTTGGGGTTTAAAGTTCTTCCTGCTCTGTGTCCAGGTGTGAGGGGGGCAAGTGGGGTGTTATGTGGGTAAACTGACAATTCAAATGGGGTCATCTGGGCATATTTAGAAGACACCGAGTAGCTTAATGTCCTAAGCCCCTATTTAGCATTTTTCACTGAGGCACCTTTGCTCAAGAGATTTGCCTTCCTTTTTCGCTGTAGCTGTTCTTTCCTTGTTTCAAGATATGGTTACTTCTTGCATGGGGGTGCCCCCTTAATGAAAAAAAGTACAACAAAAATTTTCAGACCAAACTTCTCATAATACCTAGATCTGTAATTATTATAGAATTAAATCCTGTGATGTCATGGGTAGCCAAATAAAAACATAAACTCTGAGAAGGCTCATGGACACAGATGCACACACGGAATTTGTTAGTTGATGTCGGCACAACTCTAGGGATGCTGTTTTCCTTGAGAATGGACTTTGAGGGTTATTCAACATAAAGGATGGAACATAATATTAGAAAGAATAAATTTGTCAAATGGATGCATTTTCAAGAGACTCTAGATTCTATATGCTATTTTTGGTGACTAAAAGTAGTCTATTTAACACTTTCCTGGGTTGGATAATGATACACTAAACACTAAAAGTAGTCTATTTAACACTTTCCTGGGTTGGATAATGAAAATATGACCAACCGTAGAGTAAGTTGTGCTGAAAAAAGTTTACATTTAAAGTTTTTCAGAAAATGTTAGGGTTGCATACATCATTTATATCTCAACTTCTAACTATATTCCCTAATAAAGTCTTAAATTTTTTTCCCTTAACTAAATATCTGAGAGAGAGGAAAATGCCAGAGACTTAGTAAGTTCTTCACTAGTAGTTTCTCATGGTTAATGGTGGTAGTGGGAGACATTATAACTGAGATGGACGCCACGACTTCAATGAAGATACAGTATTCCCATGTAAGAGAGGTCAGATTACTAAAACTCAGGGGGATATCTGCTACATTTACTATGCCTTGTATTCATGAGAATGGCTTGATCTACAGATATCTCTGTTGTTAGTCAAGACATAGTTTGGAATCAAACTAATG